CAGGCAAGGTCTGCGATGGCTACGGCGGTGAGGGTGGCGGTCCAGCGGCCCGCAGACCCTCACTGCCACTTCTCCAGACCTCATCAGCATCTCCATCGCGTTGCGACACACATGCGGGCTCGGCGGAGCTGAGCTGTACTGATAAACTTCACTTCGAGTGGTTCGTGAGCCGGACCACGAACCAACTGCCTGGCGTCTTCAACTCGCCGTTCTGGAAGACCTTGGTGCTTCAAGCTAGCTCGACTGAGCCTGCTATCCTCTATGCTATCCTCGCCCTGGGTGCGGCCCACGAGACATCAAACATCGACGCATGCATCGTCAAAAGGGAGCCGTCAAGTCCCGAGACAGCGGATCAACAGGAACACCTCAGCCTGCAGTATTACAACAAGTCTATTTATCACCTTCAGAAGCATCTACGCACGCCAAGCACAGAATCAATACGCGTCGTTCTAGTTGTCTGCACGGTCTACATATGCATGGAGTTCATGCAAAAGCGATACAAGACGGGATTCCTTCACTTCAGGCACAGTCTCCAGCTTCTGGGAAGCTTGTTGAGATCTTCTGCTCCGACATCATCATGCGACCCAGCAGATGACTGGTTCGTTGATGTCATACCTCGACTAGATATCCAAGCGACTCTTCTTACGAACGAGTTTTACCAAGGTGCCGGCACTAAACACACCTCATCGATATGGCCGCCAATGCCCCGGCTGTTTCAATCAGTTCGGGACGCTAGCCAAAGCCTCGATGGTCTCTTGTTCAGAGCGTACCAATTACAGAAAGATGGTGCCGCGGCCGGACCAGCAGAAGATGCAGCTGACATCTTTGAGCTGCTCGCTACACAGCAGTCCCTTCGGAACGAGCTAGAATCGTGGATACAAGCCTTTGAAATCTTCAAAGGCAGGACGTGGAACTTCGTAACAGATCGAGAGAGGCTCGCCTACGGACCGCTGCCGATTTATCACACTATGGCATACATCATCACCAATACTTCTCTAAATCCTGGAAATGAGCTTATCTTTGACCTATACACGAGTCACTTTGCGTCGGTTGTAGCTTCGGCGAGGCAGCTTATTGAGGCGACATCATCTGCAACGATGCTGACACCTGCTGCTGAATCGTCCCCAGAGGATTATACGCATCAAGCTGAGCACGCCTCAGACACGGGCTTGGTTCCGCCGTTATTCTTCACCGCTGTCAAGTGTCGCGTGCCCAGGATCAGACGTCAGGCATTGGAACTTCTTCTAGCATCTCAACGGCAGGAAGGAATCTGGGATGCGATGTTATCCGCGCGGATAGCGAAAGAAGTGATGGTTCTTGAAGAGCGGGGTCTCTATGAAGGTGATGTTGACGAGAAGAGAGCTTCCCCAGATTTTGTGATCCCGGTTCTGCCGGGGCCGCCCAGGATACACAAACTCTGGATCGAGGTGCCGGAGGAGCCACGCGGAGATATCCTTCTCAGCATCCAGAGGATCTCTCCAGAGGGCAAACGGGAGACCCTGGGAAGGCGGTTTCACGCGGAGCATGACTATTGGACTTCTGTTCCCGTAACACTACGCGTCGCTAAGGTCACTGAGCAGGCCAAGTAGGGAAGGCCGTGCTCCGAAGTGATCTGGGGGGAGGAGTCGCGAATACCCTTTGTACTATTATTTAACCCAATGCGAGCAGTGCCTCTTCTGAGACGAGGACACATTCAGCGCATATCTGCGAAAGCTTTTGGTCTGTCGTCTCCAAATTCTGCCTGGCCTATGCCTTGGTGGGATGCCATCTCGTATCTGACATTCATGCTGCTGGCGGATATTTCATACAAGCCATGCCCCTCAACTGGCAGTTCTGGCTGCCATCCAGGGGCTTGGGCATAGTGATACTGTTGTTGCTGGCTCCCATCAAGGCTGTGCTTCTTCTCAGCTTGTGCGATCGGGGTTTTTCTCGCTTGTCGTCGACGCCACAAAAGCCACCCGATAGTGCCCACGCCCAACACTGCAGCAAAAGTAACTCCAACCGCAATGCCTGCTGCAGCTCCCGACGATAAGCCTTGATCTTTCGTCGTCGGCAGTGGTGTTGCTGCAGAGTTGTTGCTTGGTTGGGGTATTACTTGGGCTTCGGTGATGTTGAAATAGTGGCAGGTGACGCCCCAGTTTGCCGGTTCTTTGCCTGGCCCGAGTAATTCGAAGAAGTAGAGGTTGCTGAGTTTCGGATTAGGGAAGTCCTTTATGGAGACTTCCCAGTTAATTGACTTTGCGGAGGTGCTCGCTACGGCCGGGCAATCGATGTCAGCCATGGGAGTTCTCCCTAAGTTGCAGGCCTTCCGTCGCTTTGCCTATTTGAACTCAGGCTTCATAAGATCGTGCAACTCACCTACGACATCGATGTAGTCTAAAGTGCTTCCGCCTCCTACCGATTCTTGCCATAATATCAACCTGGCTGAGTCGTATTCCATGTCCCAGTGGAGATCTATAATGTCTCCTATTGTGTAAGCGTTGTTGTCTCGGTAGTCATAGGCGAGACCTGGGCCAGGTGGCCGGCGAAAACGATTTTCGGCGGCGACAAATACTGCGAAGAGCAAATAGAGACAAACCCACAGGCTTGGTAGAGCCATGGCAACAAGTTGAACGGTTCTTGATGGAAACGACTGATATGATGCGTGACGCTATGGACGTTTCACCGCGACAAGGGGACTCAGATTTTAGCTAACTTCAGCTTGAACGACGGAAGGATGAGACATCCGGGACCTCGCAGCATTTAACAAAACCATTCTGCAAGGCAGAATCGCGGAGGATGCTTGACCCTGCTACGCAAAATAAGCGCTAACGATGTGCGACTAGGCGGTTACAAGAAAATCTCACAGCCCCAAGTAATACCACCCTGTACGAAGGATCTGCCCTCAAGGATTAACAATGGCAAGACCTATCGCGCGCTGCAGCCGAGATGCGAGGCAGCAGTGTGCGGTCTCCCGAATTAGATGGTTTTCAGCCGCTCAATCGACTTTCTTCGATTGGACGGCAACCTAGGAGGGGTACTTGAATTATCAAAGTTCCATGGTCCTTTCGGAAGCTTGACCGATTCCCACGCGTTCCACACTAGATAGCAGTCACTTTGCCATGCGAAGATGCAATGGTAAGCTCGGGATCTCCACATTAACAGGTTAAGATTCTGACCAAGCTTAATTAGACCATCTTTCCCGTAACCTAGTGTCCTTAGGGAATTGGGTGCTTGCAGTGCCTTGCCTAAGGCCAGTTGTGAACTTTTGGTGATAGTGAGTTAGGCTGCCCGATTCGCTGAATCTCGCTAAAACCGCGCCTCTCTTGGCCCTGACCGAGCCTCGGTCAGATCGGTCGGAAACTTGAGAAAATCAACTCAAAATGTTCCTGCCTGGTCGTCGTGCTATCTTATGGCGCCCGGCTGGCTCCACAATCTGTCCTCATGCTTTCATGCCGACAACGCGCCGGAAGAGCAATAGCAAAAATCTTGAATATTTCATGTGTGTAGTAGTTTGCCTAATCTTCCGGAGTATTTGAATTTACATGTCCAGCAACCTGAATCAACAATAGTGTTACACAGGGTTACCAAACTTATCCGTCTTCTTTGCCTTGGAGGTGAAGCACTCATCATCTGGCCCACAGCCCTGCCAGTTGAAAGATTCCCCAGGCGAGAAGCATGCGCTGTCGCAATTCTGCTTCTTGCAAAGCCCATGCGCCTCATCACCGCCGACCCACCCATCATCTTTGGCACCGTTGACTGTTCCTTCTATCGCATGCCACTATTTCTCATCAGCAACCTAATCAACCTGATACAAAACCATTGGAGGGGAAGAATGGTGCCGACATACGTAAGGGCCGCTGTACGGCGCGCCGTGTAGCTCATCAGAAAACCAATTGCCTCCAGCTATAAGATCTTGTTAGCGACGATGAAGTTTAATAGCGTGAAGGCCAATTCTCTCACCATAAACGAACCGTCCGTCGTACGCATTGACAACTGCTTTTGTTGCATCGTCGTTGATTTGAACACCAACAAGACCCTGGTCGCTGATACAGGCGCAAAGGCGGTGCTTATCAGCGCTGACACGCGCCACCCTGGGATCAATTAGCTCTCAATTTCACTCGTACCTTACTCGAAGTGCCAGCTTACATCAGCAGGCTGAGTAGGCAAAGATCTCTCAACGACATGATAATCTTGGGCTACTAGTATGATATGCCGAACCAATTATACGTGATTAAAAGATAGTCTGTATGATAGAAGCTGTGAACGAGAATTTGAAATAAAGTACGAGCTGATTGTGGCGAGGGGAAGTCGGACTCGAAAAGTCATTTACATTTGTATGTACTCTCCCAAGCCTTACGTGCCCCATGGAGTCCTCAGTGGATGGCAGATGGCTGATAAGGTATCGGCTTCCCCGACCTCTGGAGGTGTGAAATGTCGCTTTCATCAAGGCCTCAATATGACGATGCATTCATTGATTGAAGATTGCGGGGAATGTCATTTTTTTTTTCCCAATGCTCTATTTAGTCATCCGAACTTTGTTTGATTATCAAATTAATGTACATTGCTTTTGAGTTTCCAGGCAACGTGTTCCCGAGTTCTTGATAGGGGAATGTGTTATCTCACTATTCGTAGAATAAGAGGGGCCTGTGCCGAGTCATATCCTTCCCAGGAAGTCTGGGGAACAATCTATTCGGACCAAAGATCGCTGCCACTCTGCAACGGGCTTGTCCGGGAAATTGGGACTTCTCTTTGAGCATGACTAATGCCAAAGCATGGCATCCCGTTGACGCAAGGATGATCTCAAAACAACTTTACCAGTGTGCTGTGAATGCCATTCTATCTGGTTCGAATTGTAACCTGATGCCTACTCGATAGCATCTACTCACTTTTTGTTCTTTGCCCTCGGACTCTCAAGAGATAGGTGGCTTCTAGACAAGGCCTGTTCTATTTGGTATTTGATCGTGGGGAAACCATTGATTCGAAGTTTCTCGTCTGTCTTACCATCAGATTGTGGACTTCTAGGTCTTATCCGTGTGATCATAGGAAAAGCTCCTCAAGTGGTATGAGTCAAACCATCTATTTCCAGGTAAACATGCTGCAACAGATGTCACCAATTCAAGACAAGAGACTGTTATTAATTCTTCTTGACCAATAACTAAGCTCGAGTGCTTATAGCTTGATTGATGGGTCTGTGTATGGCATGATGCCTTTGCCTGTTCACTAAGCCAGCCTTCTTTATCAATGTCTTTGGTCAACACTTCACTTTCCTGGCACGCCCAAGCTCTCAACTTTGCAAACATCTCCATGACGTAGGCTCGAGCGAGCATCAGCGCTAGTAGACAACTGTGTATTTACCGACTGCTCTGACACATTCAATGAAGACTGCACGCTTGTTGGTGGCAGAAATGAATACTACCACATACGTATCGAGAGGATGGGAGCTTTGACGGTGAGGAATAAGAGGTTGAGCGATATCAAGTAAGCTTCCCACATAAGTCTTGACGGCATTTGTTCTCACTTTCCAATACCGCCGGTTATTGCTCCCCTCAAAATCGATGATCGCCAGTTGCGTGCCTCTCTTTTCCTTGCAAGACCGGCAGAAGCGTTGTTTTAGGAATCATGGGCGTCCAAATTACGCGTGCTTTGGGCGAACAACTCCTGAAACACGCATGGGCACTCCAATTGACAATATCAGGAAGTTCAAGGTTCCAGAACCAGATTCCAACTCATATAATAGACTGACTTGTTTGGGCAGACCACTTTTGGTCAGGTAGTGCGCGATCAGATATATATACGAACTTGGCGCCTGCAGGGCATCATTCGTTTCTCAAAGATGAGAGTTAGGTGCGAGTTCTTTGTGAAAAGGAGAGTGTCACTGGTTTGGGACGAAGCAAGGGGCAGAAGCGTGATGATGCAATAAAGGTAGCAAACTCTTTGACGTTGTACAACCACACAGATGCCCTGAGCATTGTTTTACACAGCAATCATTCACCGTTTGTTCTCTTTTGATAGTGAAGTTTTTCAATATCTACAGAGCTAAGCTTAGAGAAAGTACCCAGTGTAGAACACATCATCCCATACCTAAGCGGTGAAGTGAGTATTCCCAACATTCACTGTTCCAAGTGACGCCACCCACATACCGGGTCTTTTCTCCAGTCTGCTTTCTCATATGCTCCTTCCTTCCCACTGTTGGTATCTCATAAGGAGGCTTCTGCCTGAGGTCAAATAGGTCATTTGCTCAAAGATCTTCCGGGCGTTATTCAGAAAAACGTGACCAGATGAGGTGGCTTGGTATTCCTTCCAAATTCTCCCTCATAGCTCAGCCCTTTCCTCCTACTTCATTCTGTCGAACACACATCTCCTCTTTCACATCTACTTCCTTTCTCTCTTTCATTGAGAAAAACTCGGTACTTCCCTCAAAAACCCTCGATTCTCGATCACCTTTACAACCACCCACATTGAGACCACTGACGAAGTTGAGGAGCACTCATCATGATGATGGTCTCCCGTATCGTCTTCCAGGCAATCCTCGCCTTGGGTATTTATTCCCTGGCTACTTTTGCCCTGGGCGAGGACCTTACTATCACCAAGGCCGAAACCTTCCCCGTCATCGCCATCGAGGCCGGTCTTACCGCTCGCGATGAAACGATCGCCCCTCACGACTGCGGCGATATCCTCAGGCGCGGCATCACCCCTCAGATCGACTGCTCCTACTCGGAAGAGAACTGTGGTTTCCAGGACGACATTGAATACATCATCCGCATCAAGCCTATTGGCAAGGTCAGCACCCACTGGTGCGGCATGATGCGGGCGCAGGTTGCAAAGGAGACCAATTCCTATATCGAGGAGATTGTGATGAAGAAGTGCGACCGCACTTACGAGGCCAACGAGAATGGCAATGGCATGTGGCTTGTCCTCAACATTCAGCACATCCACTTTCTCGGTGATCGGCGCCCTGATGTCGAGCGTGCTATCAGGAACACCATGTGCCCTGGTGGTCCAAAGCTGGACTATTGGGTCAATGAGGGGTACATATCTCTTCCCCTTTCCACCCCCCCCCCCCCACCCCCCGAGGCAACCTTGTTCAACTCTGTAGCTAACTTCTTTTCACCAATAGTTGCTACCGCTCCAGCATCTGTAGCAAGCGCTACTGGAATGTCGATAAGCGTCGCAGCTTGCCTGACGCCCTCGAGCAGATCTCTTACCCCAAAGGACGCGATGTCCTCAAGGTCCGCCCCGAGATCGAGAAGCCTGTCACCGCCCTCGCCGCTACCAATGTTGTCGCCACCACTTAGCCGACTACGTTCCTCACAATCAAGCCATTCCTATTGCCGAGAGTCTCACTCCGGACTTGCTCCTCAAAGACACTCCCACCGGTTTCGAGGCTCCTCAACCCCAAGCGATCCATGGTATTACTCGTGGCCTTGATCACGACTTCGAATACGGAGGATACTTCCAGCTAGCGAGAATTAGTAAGGGGGCATCTTCGTCTTCGAAGAACGATGTGAGGACTATGGCTATGTTATTACAGCGCAGCTAGATAGGAACAGAAATCGGCTCCGATTCCGGGATCATCATCTAGTGCACCGACTTAACCCTGAACTAGTCTGAAGCTTTCCGTGCCATATTTCACCGAGTTATATTGAAGGGCAGCCGCTCATGTAGAAGGAAACGAGTCAAGAATAAGAATAAGGAGGTAGTCGGCGAGCCAGTCGACGAGGGCTCTCTGCTGGGGCCCCTCAGCCGCTGGTACTTCTTGGAGTGCCGGGCAATGACCCTCTCGATACAGCTGTAACTCCTCTCCAAGATTGACAGCCTGTCCCTATGAGTACATAGGTCATGGAGCGAGTCCTGTGACTTGTCTCCGTCGTGGATCTCGCCTCAAATAGGAAAAGGCTAGGGAGCCTCGTCCATGTTTTCAATCGTTTTGCTCCTTTTGCTCTCCGATTGCCGTCCCGGAACAGCAGTGATAGGTTCTTTCGGAGGCGAAGTGCTATCAAGAGACGGCAAGATTTCTCCACTCCCAACAATGGCCTTGAAAAGCCTGTGGCAAAAGCCGGTATGTCTGTTCAAATTGCTTGGGCGTTCTACGAATCTCATACAGACTTCATAACCACGTTTAGCAAGCTCTATGCTCACAGGATCTTCACAGAAGCGCTGGAGTGCCAGCTGAACCACAATATGGGATAAACTGACAGATACCTCGACTTTCTGGGAACCGTAACTTTTCCACTCAGCCATCGCCAACTGCACTCTTCCAGATATTGGGTTAAAATAATAAACGATCGTGGTCAGCTTGAGCATATCCAAAGGTTTTTATTGAATGGCGGATAAAGCACAGGCTAGAGATTGTAGACAGTGAGAAATTACATCAATCTCAATAATGAAAGGGTCAATCTTCCGATCAGTCAGATCGACGACTAGGACTCTTCGGCAGCATAGAAACATTTGCAGACCGTATGACGTCTCAATAAACCTTGGCTAATTTCGAGTTGCTCCAGACTCGAGTGACAGAACCCGTACTCACCCGGCTATGTATCTCTAGGTAGTAGCCTTGCGGGGCTCAACCTGGACGGAAATCGTTCAAATCATAGGAGATCTCGTAGTCGCACAGGCTCCCGCACATGGCAAGTCCTCGCGAGCTCTCAACCACGTCAACATGAACACTCCCACCCGCCCGTCAGACGTTTCGAAACTCAATATCAGAAAGGTTCTTCTATATTCGGCAGATCGATGCTGCAGTGCCCAGCTTTTATCTACCCTTGGGGGTTCTCGGTGCGTTGCATCTCACCCTCCCCAGTCTACCAGAAACTCCAACATCATGAGTATCATGCTTGGACTCTTGGGAGAACTACCTCAAAAATGAAAAACATCATATAAACAGCTTGGAAAAAAGAATATACAGTGAATAGAAGATCAATTCCCCAGGAACTCTCACAGCCCCCACCCACTCTAAAAAAGGAGAAAAAAAGGGTTGCTTCCCATCCATCTTCCCTCCTCCCGTATGTTGACGCAAAGGTGACCCAGCCTTTTAAGAAGAACCCTCAATCATTGCCAGCGGATTCCAGCCCGGTTAGGAGAAGAGAAGAAGTTCTTGTCTCAGACAAGAAGCCAACCAAAAAAAACTGAAGAGGGTCAAGTCGGAAGACTTTACATCCTCACAGCCTTCTTCGACTTACTCCCCCCGGTAGAAAACGGCGCCAAAGGCGGCACGCTCTCCTTGGCCTTCTGCCTCGTCGTCAGATCACCGCCCCTCTTCTCCCCTTTGCTCTTTGTCGAGAATGGCGCCAGCGGCGGGACCTCCTCCTCGCCCCCCTTCTTCTTGCGCGCCTCGATGACCGCCTCGCGCTTCTTCGCGTCGGTGCCAAACGGGTTTAAGGGCGGAGGCGGGTCATTTTTGCCGGGCTTGTCGGCGCGTCGGGCGACGGCGGCCATGGCTTCCTCGTGGGCGAGTCCGGAATGGAAGCGGATCGGGGAGCGCTTGATTTGCGGGACGACGGGTTTCCCAGCATCTTCGCGCTTGATGAAGCTTACGACGCCGCCGATTGCGTCCGAGGCGCGGGCTTGGAGGCTTGCGATGGGGCTGGAAGTGTTTGTTAGTTGGGTGTCAGGTGGAAGAGTTGTGAGTCTTACCCAGACTCAACGGGCACGGCACCAACGCCGGCAACCGCAGCGGCGACGACGGCAACAGCAGAGAACTTCATCTTGTCTAATTCCAACGCTTCGTATCTTCGTGTGTGTAGTGTGAACCTTGTCGTAACTCGTTCCCGCCGTCGTGAAATGTGTGTTCGAGCCGGCGATGACGTTGAGTCGTATAGGATAGTTGTGTATGTGTATAATTTGAAAGGAAATGATCGACGCTTGGTCTATTCGATAGTTGGTTACCGGAAGTAAATGTTGTAATTGTCAAGTAAAGTGATCGTCCGAATTCAGACGCAGCAACCAAAAGAAAGAGGGTGCGGAAGAAAGACCGGACGTCCACGACTCTTTTATCTTTCTCTTCTCTTCCAGACGTCCGGTCCCAGACCACCGCCTCCTTTCCCCATATTCTTCAACTCTCCACATGAGCAATCCAGACATCCCTGACCATTGCGTGAGCTGACAGGCAGCTTACACTACACCCTTGTCCGTCAACACCGGCCACCCGGCAGCCCCACGGCCTTGCCTCGCATCACAACGTGGCGCGCCCGCTCGATGCCAGCCCTGGTCTGGTATCACATTCACATCTTGCCCTACCCAACTACCTCATATTCCACCTCGGCGCGACGATCGTATAAGAAAGAGTCCGGGGATGATGGCTGTACGTCTTGTACGCAATAAGCAGCGCACATCTAACTTCCACAAGCGCGTTTCCACAGTTTCAGCCCGCGACAATCCACACGAACCACGGGCCAACATCCGGTACAGACGGCGGGGACTTGCTCTCGGGGTTTTCTCTTTCACCTCAAATCGTCTCTATCTACGGGAATCTCTGCTCGGCGAGTTGAATTCTCCGCCAGTCCACTCGG